CTTTATTTGAACTAAACTCCCTACCTACTATATTGCTCAACAATCATTTTGTGTGGAGATATGAAATAGTGTTCAGCAGGACGTCGCCTATGTCACTCTTTGCCCAATCCTGTTTCTGCCTGCATGTGATAGCCTATTTGATTACAAAATGCTTTATTTTTATTTGTTTAATAATATTTCAAATAATCAGTCACTTAATTGCATTTATTATTTTCACCTGCTTATCTTTATCTCTGCATATACAAGTGGAACGGCCTTTTGATGCTGTTTTATCTCATATTTCCTATCCATACTATATGTACACATTCACTTTACTCGTGGTTATAGACTGAGGTCCTTTATCCCCGAAAGAATTTGTAATTTCTAACGATCGCCTCTTTTTTGCAGTTTTGCAAATTATATTACTGCTATCAACTTCACACCCAGTTTAGCATTTTTGATCCGATTTCCCCTACTAAATATGCTTTGCTCATATGAATTTTTCATATTACTATCTGCATTTTTGTAACCCTACAATAGCAACTTGACGAAGACGACATTGCTTCGTCATCTCAGACAAGTTCATTATTGACGACCGCTTAGGCTTGAACTGAAACTTCTGCAATTACATATTCGAAATATCTTAATTTGGTCTTGGTTTGACCTTGCCTTCGCGACTTCGTCGGGATGATAGATAGACTTTTTAGAACATACTCAATCCTGTATCATCTACTATAGCAGTCATGATTAGTTCCAGCATTGTGACTGATTTAGCTTGGTATTCTAGTGATATAATAACTTCGCCACTGAATTCGAATTACTTAGCACATGTTTCGGGGATGATGCCAGCCTCTCATTCATGGAATTTCGTTGATACTCCAGTGCTCCCAAAGCAGATATTTTACAGCGCTTATGACTATGTCACTGCTAAAAACTATCTTCAGTTACAATTAAAACCACTCATATTTCTTAAAAGGTGATAAACCTCGAAGTATAATAAAGAGTGCAGTCAATTTTGGTACGGCAACAAAATTTAACATCGATAACCTATTTCAACGTAATATACAAAATTATTGAGCAAAAATCGCATCCAGCTTGCAAGATATATATATATATATATATATATTGCAATAGTTTACTATTTTCCTTCATCGGAAGGTAGATTGGATGTTCCCAATCTGTTTTGGATGCCTTCAAATCACGTTAAGCGATCTAGTTACCAAATTCCTGCTTATGAAGTATATTTGTATCTCCGTATCTATATGGATTGCGTTAGTGGTAGCTTAGCTGTGCACGAGTCAATAAGGAGGAAAGCGCAGTAAGAATGTCATGTCTGCATTCCAGATGAAGGAAATGTAGTTAAAAATGCATCAGTCACTGGCAAGATTATTTTTTTCTCACTAACGACCCTCATCCCCACCATACACATCGAATATAGTCCATATAACTTCCCTCAGATACATGAGATTTATCAATAAATATTTAAATGATCAATCCCATTGCAGAGCACGAACCCAAATAGTCTCAAAATTCTGGAGTAATAAACAAGACTTCGACTAGACATTTTGTTGAATTGTAGAACAAGTGTTCATACTTATTGGAAACCTGGAGATGTATAAAATTTGCAATAAGATCTAGTAAAAATTGGGTTTTGCTCAACTAAAAGATAAAACTCTCTCAACATCAATGATTAAGTCAAAGCGTTGACCCAATAAAAGCATTTGTCTTCCAATAGAATTGTGCCATTGCTAAAATCCTACATTAATAAGAAATTATTATTATTAAACTAGACACTGAATCTAATAAAGGCAAGTGATATTTTCGAATGCATAAAGCTAATCGGATTTTCGATCAAAATAAGAACCTACGATTGATTAATAAAAAACGAATTATTCAGTCGATCTTATTTGATGTATTGAAGAGGCTGTATAGATTATGGTTCACATGGTTAAGTAGTGAGAAGGCGGAAAATTTGATGCGCGCTGAGGTTTATTGGGGGAAGTGCAGAATTGGGAGGAAAAATGATGGACTGTGGACATTTCGCCGGCATCGTCAGTGAGTCTTGCCATTAGCACAACACTACGCGTCAGAGACAAATGAAGCCGATCTTTTGACCAAACGTGGGCTAAACAGTTCTGGTATCTCTCCTGCTCTGGGCTAGTCACATCTCCCATATCCTCGTATCACGCCGTCACAGTTACCATTTTTAAGTGCATATTTAAATGTAAG